AATTACTTTTTGGTATCTACAATCTACATACAGTGTAAACTCTATATAACGACACTTAAACGACTGAACATTTTTCGGCGTTATAAAGAGTGGTCGTTAAATAGAGTGAGCGTGACGCTATATAGAGTGTAATATTGTATAGAAAACAATGTAAACTAACCAAAGTCAAGCAATTTCGACGTTTTAAGTCGTTAAGTCGAGTGACGTTATAAAAAGTTTACACTGTATATATATGAACTTTTCCTTAACTAAAGTATCTATATCTATCAAAAATTTGATTTTTAGTTGCAGAATGTGCTTGATTTTTTAGGCAAAGTGTACCCCTCTCTCATTGTCATGAAGGGGTTGCGATTGAAATGTAAAAAAATAAGAGGGATCGGTAAACGTTAAACATTTCTGTTTTCATCTATTTGTCAACGTAATTACAATGGTTCGTAAACGTAAAAACATAATTAGATGACGGAAAAATCTTACGGCCGAATAATAAAGAAAATAAAAGAGCGAGAAAAAAATATTTCGTAGTTAAAGAGACGAAAAGACAAAAGGCGGTCGCGATATTTTGTCATCAGAGCAACCCTTTCGGCATAAACGTCTCGCGGAATATAATTAGAGAGCGACCCTTGTTTAATTTGGATCGTCGTTCCCGAGACCCCCGTCCCCCCGCCTTCTTCGTTCACCGCCCGCTCGGCAGATAAAAAAAAGTTAACCGACTTACACCAATAACTGCTAATTAAATTAACTTTTTAATGGGCCTTTTTTCATTGCTTGCCCTGCAAATGACACGAAATTATTCCGATGCTCACTTGTTATCTGGTTATTATCTTCTCTGAGAGAAGGGTTGCTCCGTATTTTTAATTTTTCCTGTTTGTCTTGTTGGCCCGTCTCTCTTACATGGTTTTCCTTTCGTAACGATACCATCTGCAATTACTTTGTTTTTTGTCCGGACGACCCCATCCACACCCCCTCACCCCTCCCACTTTTTTATGCTAAATTAAAGGGCGACCACAGTGCGTCTGACAAATCGGGATAAGAGATCGAAAGAGATTATGGAATTTTTTTAATTTTCCTTTTCTTCTTTTTCGGTTTCTCGAGTGGACGGAAGCTGGTCCATTTTCCCGAAAAATTTTCGCAACTGCGCTCGTGGAAATTTATTAAGTATAGGAGATGAAATATTAGAAGAAGTGGCTGATTTTAGATACCTAGGAAGTCAGATAAGTGAGGATGGAAGGAGTAGTAGGGATATAAAGCAGAGGATAGCGCAGGGTCGTGTCGCATTTAATAAAAAGAAGTCACTTCTATGCTCGCGAACCGTTAATTTAGAAATTCGAAAAAGGTTGTTAAAGGTGTATGTTTGGAGCACGGCGTTGCACGAGTGCGAAACATGGACAGTGGGAGCGGCGGAAAAGAAAAGATTATTTAGAAGCGTTCGAAATGTGGTGTTATAGGCGGATGATGAGGATATCGTGGGTAGAAAAGGTTAGAAATGAAGAGCTATTAAAAAGAATAGGAGAACAGAGGACTATATGCAAGACAATAAAAAATAGGCGAGATAGGCTGGTAGGACACCTTCTCAGACATGAAGGTCTAGTCAGAGACATATTAGAGGCAGAAACAGGTGTTAGTAGGGGTAGAGGTAGACCTAGATTAGATTACTGTTCGCAAATAGTTAAGGATGTGGACTGTTCTAGTTTTAGGGAAATGCGAGGTTTAGCTCAGGATATGAAAGAGTGGAGGTACGTGTCCAACCAGTCTTAGTACTGATGACCTTATGATGATGATGATGATACAGTGTAAACTCTTTATAACGTCACTCGATTTAACGACAAACTCCTTAAAACGTCGAAATCGCTTGACTTTGGTTGGTTTACATTGTTCTCTATACAATATTACACTCTAAATAGCGTCACGCTCACTCTATTTAACGACAACAATGCGGCATTATAAATCATTGAGCAGTACTTTCTAAGTTGCCGAAATAGATAAGAACTGCAGCTGTGTACGTTGTTGAAGAAGACGATCCTGTCCCTCCACCAAGCATCAAACAAGCACTTGATGCAGCGAAACTATTAAAAAAATACTTTTTATATAATCAAATTGATCCAGCAGTATCTCAAGATATGAGTAAGATACGTAACAAAATACAATTAAAATATTGGAGCAGCAAAAAACATCAGACGAAGATAACAGGCTATACGCAATGTATGAATAATAATGTTCGTGTGCAAAATGTGTACTATATTGGTAAATGCATATTATTATAGAATAGTAAAATAATATCTTCTATTTCTCTCCATTTAACGACTACTCTATAACGCCGAAAAATGTTCAGTCCCTTAAGTGTCGTTATATAGAGTTTACACTGTAGTTGTAATTCTTATGAAATCAGACGTGAAGAACGATACAATTAATGTTGAAATTACCACGACATAAACAGATATTAGCAATTTAAGTCATATGTGCTAATGGAAGTGGAAGTGTGTAAAGGAAATCGATGTAGTTATCTCCTCTGATGATTTGGCTTGCACACTTTTCTCGTCCAGGATGTCGTTTAAATGTCAATATTCGGTGAATGGTAATATATTCGGTATTAACTCTAACAGGCTGAGATAGGTTCCCAGGTCTGCTGTGTAATTTCAAGAACTCAGCAAGAATGAAATATTATAAACCTGAGGTATAACAAGGTGTAGGTCAGGTTGTACTAGAGAAAAAAATACGTCAGTTTCATCAAGTAACAAGTAATTTATAGGATGGGTCAAGTATCCGGTTTTGATCCGGTAGTCGACCGATCCTGCACATTTTTTAGAATCCAAACGTGCACCAGATAGTGATGCAGTGCCGAGTAATTCTACCAGTGAGAGAAAAATAGTAGCATGCCCGAACTGTTACAATTTCTGACGCTTCTCGATACATCAGGCTTCGATTTTAGTCAGGTATTCGGCGCAGCTAATGCTGGGTTCACGGTTATCCGACACCCGGAAAAATCACTATCCGGTGCATCTTATAGGTTGATATTTAAATGTCGGATTAACCTAGCATTATATTACCAAACCTAACTTTTATATAATATAATAAATGACTTCAGTTATTGTTCTTGTATTGAATAGGCCCTAATCTTTATTATTAACATTTAAAACTGAAAATCTTTGACTTCAAGTTTCGTATTTAATCAACTAATGAGAAAACTAAACATCGTCGACGCCTTTTTCCAGATAAGATACCGTGTAAACGTTTTTTTTTTCATTCTTTTCCTGTGAGATGTAGTAAGGAGTAGGGGATCAATTTTGTTTTTTTGGCAATTTGTTCTTATGCAATTAAAATGGTGGCGCTGTTGGTGAATAATTGCACGGGGCCCCTCGAATATAAAAATCTAACGATATTTCGTTTTAATCCACGTTATTGCCTAATTTGAAGAGGAGCGTCGCGACGGTGGCGTCCACACCGAGCGCATAAATTATTGAAATTATTATATTAAAAAATCCATCTAAGAAGTCAAAGAAGCTATTATCCAAGCTCATTTTTCGCTAACTAATAGCTATTTCTGGCTGGGCCGCCGGGCCCGAGCCGGCTCGTAAAAATCGACTTATAATTATGGGAAACGGGCCCCGAAGGGAGCGCGAAACGGGAAAAAGAGCGAAACCGACCGACGACCCCCCATACCTACTACATCCACCAGCCCCCCCCCCTACATCGATTTGCTACCTACTACGATAGTAAGGTACGTGGGATAATTCTTTTAAGAAGTAATCTCGCTTTTCCCGAATCAATTCCAGGCCATCGTTATTATTATGCCATTGAGACGATGGAAAATGATCCCATTACTTTCCCTTATTTGAAATATTGCTGCTCCACCGTTCTAAGAAAAGAACGGATTTTGTTTTGATTAAGTTTTTTCTTAAATTTTAGTCAACTAATATTTGTATTACGGAAAAATAATATTTATAATGTTAAAATTAATTTTCAATTTTAATTGAATTCAATTAATAAGGGAAAATTTGTTGCTGTGCAAATGTCAAAGTGTTTCATCACTACATAGTATAAAACAAAGTCCCTTTCCCGCTGTCTGTCCCTATGCATGCTTAAATCATTAAAACTACGCAACGGATTTTGATGCGGTTTTTTTTAAAAGATAGAGTGATTCAAGAGGAAGGTTTATATGTATAATACATGCATAATATAGTAGGGAAACACTGATAATTTTAGAGGTTTCTAATGTGATGTCGTAAATAAACACATTTTTTGCGCTTACATTGCAAACGCTGGCTGAACCCTACGAGATAGATCAAAATAATGTACTACAATATTGTACATCTTAAAAGGGTCTACAAAAAAGTCCGGGATGGTATATGTCTATCTCTTAGGGATAACCCACAATAACCATTTTTATCCTTTACTTTTTATGAGAAATAATGACTTATTTACGAAGCTATTGTAAGCAATACAGCATTAATTCTTATCCAATTAAGTACCTTAAATACATTGTGCATTTAATATAGATCAATATGGCCCTTTACAGCATGTAATTCAAATGAATATTTTCGAAGATATTACAGATTTAAAATGCAGGGACAGCGATTGCGGCGGTACCGGCTGGGAGGCCGGTTTGTATTGTCTGTGAATGTTGTATATAAAGACATTCTGTAGTATATTTAGTATGTTCAGGGGGTACCTTTTGAAGATTTCCCCTTCTCGATGCGAAGCTGGGGCGGGTCGCTAGTACAGGTATATAGTATTAATATGATTACATCAGTTCGACAGACATGTGACCTAATAAATACGGATTGTCGATGTTGCTGTTGTCGTCTCTCGTAGCTTAGTGGTTACGGCATTGGTGCATAAAGCCAAAGGTCCCGGGTTCGATTCCCGACGCGGCTATGACAATTTTTTCTCACTAAAGTTTATAATGGTTAAAAATTGAAAATTAATTTTCACATTAATGTTTGATATTAACCACTGTTAAACGTCAAAGCGTTTCACTTAAAGAGTATAAATTGTTGTTACAGACACTTCTTCCAAACTATCCATTGCTGTTTACCCCGGAATTTCTTACAACAAATTCGAGTAACACCCTGCTGGCCGTCGCTGGTCCTGCAGGCGTACTCATCATGGAAATTCCAGCAAGATGTCCTCCATATGGGGCATTCGCGGGCAACAAAGAGGTCGTCTACTGTCGGTAAGTGACATATAATTGCTTCAAGATTTTTGCGACATTTATTAATAAAGAAAATTGAATTCTCCCTTGAGTTAGAGGGTGGTTCAGCTGGCTCATTTGCTTCTCTTAGATACGTAAATTGCCTGAAAAGAATGAGAACATTTTACTAAACATTACATTAGTACCTATCCAATCGAACATTCAATGACATTTTATATTTTGTGCTTTTTTTAACTGTCAGTTTGTTATGGAGAACACTCTTCATTTGCATCTCTTTTATACAGAGTGTTTTTAAAATAAGTAGCAAGCTTGCAGGAGGTGATAAGGCACTATAAAACAAGGAAATTAAGTAAATGTTTGGTGGTCCATGTTATATTACATTTGTATTTTTGTTAATTGTGATTGTAAGATTATGTGTCATTGCCGATGTTATTTTACAGTTAGTTTCGAATAATTCTTTGTTCTTTTAACGTTGTAGGTTTGTATGTATTTAGTTAGTCAAATTCATTCGCAGTATGTCATAAGTCAGGTCAGAATAACATTGGCCAATGCATGAATTTTTAGGCGAACGTCAGTTTCCCAGACGGTAACCTTTTAGTATGTGATTTTATGAAACAGCGCGTGAATTTAAATCCAGTGCAGAACTCTGATGCTTTGCACGGCCGTGTATGATCGCTGCAAATGAAATATGCCAAATGCCGAACGTTTTTACGCGACTCAGAAATATTTTTTTCGTAGTGTACGTAATTACCCATGCTAATGTAATATTCTTTTTCTAATGAGGATAGAGCTATTGATAATAAGATAACACACTTTGACAATAACTCAATGGTGGTTTGGAAATTTAATAAAATTACTATTACCTATCCAGGGGATATCAATTTACCTATTAATGTTGATGTAACGTTAATTTTTTCGTAATTTTTTTTGTTCTTAACACCATATCGAGATCAACTATGAAATAGTATTTACGGCATAATATCAACGATGAAAAAAATAATTATTTAACTTTTATCCCAATGAGTGCAGTACTAAGCTGTTGATATTTACTATACAAAACACAATTGTTTACATTCTCCGTGGATGCAGCTACAATTTCTATATACGTTGCCAATCTATGCCCAACTTCTTCTGATTTTCTCACAAGTCTCTCTTGTCCCTTAATCAAGCTGTTTTAGTCATCATCACCTTCCAAAGCTTACTATGTAATATATCCTCAAATTCCGACATTAAAACGAACAGTGCTTATGGTCTAAACTCGTGACAAGCATGTACGCTCCCCTCCATCCCCACGGCGCGAAAAGGACAGTGTAGAAGGTCTCTCTCTACCCCGTTCCAGGACGGAAGATCATATTTTTTCCCATAACTCAGCCGGGTCCCGGCTTCGAATGGAAAGGATCCACCTTATGATACAGTAACAAATTTTGCGCGACTCTTAATCTGGCGTTATATTGCCAAAGTTTGTTGCGAATACATTAAAGCAAGGAGGAGATGGCGGCGGGAGGGGGCGGCTCGACAGGACGCTGCCTTACTCCTCGAGACCATCCCCCCACCCACCCGTCCACCCTCCACCACCAACGTCTCCGTTGTCGTCGTCGCCGACCTAAAGTGGCATTATTTAAAGTGCCTCCGTATAGAAATATTCCGTAATTTATTATAACTAACCGTTTGCTTCTAATTGCAGTTTGGAAGTTACCGCGTATAAGATTAGACACCTTGTTTCGTATTCCATATTAATGCCGTCGTTGAAACATAAAACGGGCACATGCGAAGGGGATGCTAGCCACCCTGCCGCTCGTCTCTCAAAACTTGCTGCGAAACGAACTTTGTTTATAGGTAACGAAAACGAAACAACTACTTAACTCGAATAAACACAAATGGACATTACGTTAAGTTAACTTTTTCTATGCAGTTGCCACAATAATTCAAAATATTTCATTGCTTTCTGTCGTCGTTTAAATTCCATTCGGCAAACCGTAGCATTCGTTTATTCGCATTTCGATTAAAATAGGCACTATTGGGATCCGTCAAATGGGCATACACCATCTGGTGGCAAAATTTATAACTCGAATGAGGGAAAAATTTACATAGGAACTGTGCACGCAAATTGTAAAATTGTTTATTAAAATAATAAAACACGTTAAAAAAGTAAAAATTTTTTTGATGATGGAGTCGACGAAGTTTTCTTCTAAAGTTAAATCAAATAAAAAGTTAATATGTTCAGTGAAAAGCTGCAATAGCACTTCAGACATACATCTTCACTCTTCACCTACGTTAACTACTTTCCAATAAAAAGTAACCGTTTTATATATGTAAAAAATATATTCGGAAAATTGGAGAAAAAAGTAAACTAATAGAATTTTGGATGAAAGCAGTAGGTATCAAAGAAGTGAATTCCGGAATAAAAATTTTTTCACGTCATTTTAATGCACATGATTATATTTCAGCAAGTATTTACCATCAGCCATAACCTTAATATTTAAAACTAGAATTATACTAAAATTATAAAGTGAGAAATTATTTATTCCTGTGTAATTGATTTAACACAATTCTAATGATACGATATAAGTATTTTGAGGTTAAGAACCTACCTGCTGCAATACAACAAAGTTGCAATAATGTGTTTGCAACGTTCTCTTAAATCGGCTTTGCACGTGCAAGTCATTGATATGATATTGCTTAAATCACCCAGAATCACCTCACCAATTATATAACGTGAATCACTTTTTAAATCCGAAGATTGTAAAAAGTAGGCAGTAAACTTGACGGAATTTGAAGGCTAGCTTCCGGATTTGTTATTTCCAAATTTTATAATGTGATTGGCATTAAAAACACGCTCACCTTCACCGAAATTGCCTTTCCGAGGCTTTGTGTCAGCCCAATCATATATTGTGTCAATACTTATCATTTTATCGTAATTTAAAAACTTGGAAATTGCACGGTACACTGTAGGAACTACGATAAATTTTCCCTAATCGGCGCCATGTTTTTAGGCTCCTCCCATTTGACGGATCCCAATAGTCTATTTACTTTTAAGATACATTAAAACAAAACAAATCTAGATTGTTTTTTGTTTCCACTTGAGACTGTAGTCATTTACTGCGTTTTGGACACGCTCTTGTTAAGTAAGGAAATGCTTCATGAGGAGTAAAGACAAAGTGAAAAGAGAAAACCGAATACTAGTAAGCGGTGCAACTGTTAGAGGTTGCTTATCATTTGGCCCAAGAAATGAAGACCTTTTTTTCTTTGATTAGTCGCAAGTTTTTAAAGAAATTTTTAAAGTTCAAATAATAATTAAACGGAAGTTCTTCCATCTCCATCGCTGGATGTGAACTAAAAGAACCTTTGAAGAAATTTCTTACTCGTGCTAGTAAAACATTAGAAAGCAAATCCAACCAACGACAGCTTTTAGACCCGAATGAGAACATCATTAGTTTCTTATTTGATTTTGCAACATTTATTTGCCTTCTGGTGTTGTTGATTATTGTTGTTATTATGCCATATCTTTTTAATTTTATTATTTAACGTTGTATTTTTGCTATTATTATTATTACTATGCTTTTACCTATTAAATCGTCGAATTTATAAGAGTGGAGGTTAAATTGTTACGGTTTGGGGATGAATAATGGTAAAAAGTAATTTTAGAAGTAAGATCGCTTGTCGCCTTTTGAAAATGGATTAATTTAAAAAAAGAAAACACAAAAGAACAATTGCGACGCCCGGTCGCGTAGAAGTTGGTAAAGCGGCGTCTTCAGCGTCGCATCGCATCGCATCGCAATGCCACTTCCGGTGTCAGGCGGAATTAAGTATTTGTTGAAAATCCCGCGGATCCGCCGCTAACTTATATATAGTGTTACGTACGAACGTATAAAATCCTGTGCGCGGGGCGAAACTTAATCCAACAATAATTTTATTGCTTTTTTATGGTAATTTGGAAATCTTACGCGCCGCAAGTAGCGCCAAGTGGCGTAACTCAACATTATAACCTATGTATCCTTAATTGCGCATAATTACACCTGAATATTCATGAAATTATAATCGCGTACCCCATCGTACTTTAAAACCGGCCTAAATTTGTTTATTTTGCTAATTTTCAACAAACTTTTGCTGAACGTGGAGTTCTTAACAGCTTAAACTAAATCGTTGAATTTCTTTTTTCATCACGTGGATTTTATTTAGGTTTACGTAAATATGAATCCGCATTTGTTATTATAGAAAATTTATTAATATCGATTAGTATTAATAATTATCGCTAAATATTACTATCATAATTATCCGTTTAGCAAAACCGACTATTAAATCTAAATTTATTTTAATTATAAAATAATTCGACGTGGTCTGTATTCTGTCAAAACTGCCAGACGCTGATCGCGATTTCGACAGAACACAAACTTTTACCTGCTATCTTAACAGGGCGTTTTAGAAAATACTACAAATGGCGCAGAGAACGCCATCTGTAGCACGATGCTACATTTTAGGATTACGTATGGTCCAACAAGGTCCACTTGTGTGAATATCTACTTGCTGAAAACGAATCCCGGCGTAGCCAACCTCAACGTGATAGGCACGTTAGCTTAATCGAATAAAATAATTCGAAGTGGTCTGTATTCTGTCGAAACTGCCAGACGCGGATCGCGATTTCGATCTTTTTGGATCTCATCAGCGCGTC